CTGTCAATTTGCTCTGTACGGCTGCCTGTTCTGGGCTTGGCTCAGGCACTACAGGTGAGACTTGATTTATTTTTCTCCCACACAGTGCTCAGTCACAAATGTGAATCTGCCCTCAGGCCTTCTGTTAGGTTTCGTTTTTTTGTTTTTTTTTTAATCTGTGAAATGGTTTGTTAACTTAATCGTGCTGCTATTAAAAAAATTCAATGAATCACTCAGTTGTTGCTAGTGAGCGTGTGTCACAGTTTTCTTATCTCTCTCTAGATACAACTTTATGTACAGAAAGATGAGGACATGGACGCCATGGGACTGTGTCACCAAAGCTTTTGGAACTTGTTGATGCTGTGTACTTTGAGGCTGGTGAGACAACAAGACCTGCGCTGACCTCAGAGCAAACAGGTCAGTCCTCATAACCCCGAGACACTAACAAACACAAAGCCACACACGTACAAAAACACACACCACCATACATATGATAACATCCCCGGCCGAGAGCGATTCCCAGACTATATAGGAACTGTTGGTTTCTTACCCTCTACTACTGCTTTTTGAGCATGAGACATTCAAATTATTTAAATGTGACCCAGAAGTCATCATGAATGCTGAAACACAAAATCAACAGTCAACCGCTTCAGGAAGGGAAAACATAAACTAACAGTACTAAGTAGCAAAACCACAAACAATTAGCCGAAACATCCTGAATGTAACACTTAAAGGATAAGACCTGAAGATATGTGAAAGTTAGCGGAGCAAAACGACCTGAAACATGTGACAACTTTGGCTAATAGTAAGTTCAGAAACAACCTGAAGCTAAGAATAAATTCTCTCCAACACTAAACAATTTAACACAGAGCTACTGGATGGCTAAAAGCTAAATAAAGAAAAAAATGAAAACCTTAAAATATATTTAGATATTTAGACAGCTACGGTTATTCTGAAAATATTAAGGCAAAAGTTAGCTTCCTTATAAAGCAAACTTGTTAAAAATAGGACATCATAGTGATCGATTATTCTTTCTTCCAAAAGACGATGTGTGTGTTTGTTCACACACTACGGGAGACAGCATGACACCTCTCTCTATACTAGTATTATGTCTCATGGCTGAGCACGTTGCCAGTGCTTGCTCACATGTCCCACATAGTTGTTGTCTGTCACACAGAGCAGGATTTGTCCCGTGTCCTCACACCAAAGCCAATTTTGTTGCTGCAAACAGCAACTGATGTAAAAGAGGTCCTTTTAGAGTGGACATTCCTGAGACCCTACTGAGTCATCAGTGTCCAGAAACAAGCTTACATAACCTGTTACGCCTCCTTGAATTGTTAACTTAAGTCTAAGTGAGCTGGTCTTGACCATCTTCTCATGCCAGCCCTGCCATTAAAGCCAGGGTCAGAGTTCACAGGGGCTACATTAGTGAGTGAGCGCTAGTCAGGCCCCCAGAGACTTAATGAAAACACACACACTAGCTTATTAGCCTGCCAGCTTACAGTGTAGCTAACGTAAACATGAGAAGTCCAACCATAACCTGGAGAACATGAAGTTTTCAGAGCCTCGAGAACAAATAGGCCCTGTCATAACTAGGTCAAAACACACGACTCCAGAGTTTTAGCTTTTAACTAATCCTTGGTAAAAAATATATTTTTATAAACTTAGAAATGTATGTGGGTATTATCTACCTTACTAGCATTTAATAACACTACTAAATGTAGCAAAGACTAAATACTAATTGATGACCTTAAATCTATTTGGGAGTTCTTAAGCAATACAGTACATCCACTAGTACTGCCCTTCATTATGGCTCAAAAGTATTTTTTGTACTCTTTTGTACATTTTGTACATATTTGTAGTGCTGACAGTGTTTGTTACCAGACTTTATATTTAAGTTCTTTGATGCGTTTTTTGGGAATGGACCAACTGTTGTTTTTTCCAAACTGGGTTCATTCTTAAGTTACAATTCTGCTTCAGTAAATGCTTCTCAAACAAATCAATTAGGTGAGTGACTGAAAGGATGCAGATGAGTTAATCACTGCTGAAAAAGTGACCAGTGCAGGTTCTGGGTAAGCACACGTTTCGACTCTTATGGGTCCCAGAGGTAAATGTACCGGAGACAGACAGTCTCTTGTATGTAGCCTCAAAGATGTCCTTTCTCCCTTTTTCTTGTTTACGTTGCCCACGGGAGGGTACAGAAAAAGAGGGGAGGAGGGTTTTCATTATGTAAGTGTTTTCCTCCTGTCACACTGTGCTGTTAAATGTTTGCTGCTGCTCCTTTTATGAGGCTGTTGAGGTCAATGCTCTAATGTTTAGATCTGCAACTGTGATAACATCCCAGGCTTTTCCTTTTATATTTCCAATGACTGCAAGCTCCCGCTCCCACCCTATGTCTTTAACACCGAGCTACCAAGTAGACACCAGCAGATTTCTCACTGATGAGGCAGCCTTCTTTAATTGGGGACAGATTTAATGATGTGCAAACATCCAAGTCCAGGTGTTCATTCTATGATACTTGTCATTATAATCCTATCACATGCATTCTAATTATCCCATCGCAGTTTGTTATGCAATAGAATCATTAGAATGCACGTGATAGGATTAGAATTACGAGTCTTACTGATTTTCCTCAAATTATTAATGTCTTTCGGACAGATTTCCTCACTTCCACATGTCCACTTTCCTCAGTGATCAGTGATATTAAGTCTGAAAAGCTCTTATTACATTATTACATGCTCTCATTACAGTCACCTGGTGCCCTACCTATCCCCTTCAGTCTGTCTTTATTTGGTAGCTGTAGGATGTATATTGTTCATGGCATGTGTTTGTTTTGGGGCATGTTCACTGCACGTGTTCTCGCGTGTTGCGCTGCCTGCGGAGTCCTTCCTGTGTGCTGCTCGTTCTTGCGCCTCACCGCGTTTCACCCTGGTTCCTGCCTACCTCGTTTTCCCTCGTGTTGTTGGAATTACTGGAGGTAATTTGGCTTGGGCTTTTGTAAAATAAACTTTCTACAACTGATAATTGTCTCTCGGGTGCCACATTTGGGTCTTGCCTACTTCCTTGTTCCACACAACGTGAATAAACAGGCTATTAACTGCTGTGGTCGGCCGCAAACTGTGGTAGTAAATTAAATTTGAGTTGTTCTGTGGCAGAAAAGCTAAAGTCTTACGGCTGAAAGCTAAATATCTCTATATTATATTTATTCTCTATAATAAATGAATGAATCAGACACCAAATGACACTCTAATTAAACATTACTACATTAATATCAAACATTGCTGCCTCAGCTCTGAGAGATTCTAAGGGTTAGCCTAAAAGCTAAATTAAAATAAATAGCCACGCTTTTTAAAGAGGCATTGAAGAAGCTTGAGTGAACATGATTTTCTAAAGTGCTGATGACATCACAAGTGGTTAAAAAAAATTAAAAAAAACAGTCAAATATTTTTTTGATATTTTTCTGATATCTAGCCTTCTTCTTTTTTTTTTTTATGTGAGAAAGATTTTTTGTGAGAATTTAAATCCAAAAATCTCTCTTTGGAAACCTACTTTGTTAACAAGACTACAACTACTGAATGACCAAACACTAAATCCCATTGCTGGCTATGTCAATTCCGTGTTTACGGTATCCGTTCTCTTAACTATTATTTACGCAGAAAGATGATTCTTTGTAATGACTGGGTTCTGACTCGGTGAGGCTGCCCTGCTAACCTCACCTGAGTCTATAAGTATTCCCTGTCTTCTCTGGCTGCTTATTCAGGGCTTTTGAACATCACGGTTCTTTCATGTGTTGTGCAATTTGTAATTAACAAGCAAGTGATGCAAAGGCCGAAAAGCTTTCTGACTCTACCAGTGGCAAATGCTAATTTGCCTGGGTCGATAGCGTGCGTGCTACCACTTATGGGGTTAAGGGAGGCTAACGGAAGGCTAATTTAATACGTGATGTCACGTTTTCATTAAGTCTATAAATCACTGAGGCAACGGTGCAGTGGCTGCAGACTTAGGTCACACACTGGCGTGATCTCTAATCTGTTTGCTGTGACCTCAGAGAGAAGCGTCTGAATAGAGCAGCAGAGGTCTTGCACCTCGTAAAACACCCCATTGCTGGGGTTGATTTAAATGCTTAACTCACCACCCACGTCTTTGGCTTTATTAGCCCCGATGCTTCGTCCCCCTGCTGGAATCTCTGCCACGTCCACGACCAAAGAGAAGGGATAAACATCTTGACTGTGATCAGGATGAGGTGTAGACGCCCAGAGAATTTAGAAAAAGTTCAACTCAGTTGCTCTGAATAAACAGTTAGGGACAATAATTAACTTTTTTTTTTTTTTAATGGCCCTGAGCGATGATTCACTCCTAAAATGTAGTCATTATAGGCTAACTTGCTAACAGCAAACTTGCCATAGCAGGGTGAGATGTAAAAACTAAGATTCCTCCCTTGTATACAACGACAGTCGTACAATGTTGTTTTTTATTTTTGCCTTGGCACAGCACAACAAATACAGTTGTGTTCAGATACGTAAAAAATCTAGAAGTAATAATATCGCCTGCTTATGAAACTCCATGTGAGCAAGTGGACACATTTTTCAGCTCCTCTTGGCCCCAGTGCGTGCGCATTTCTGAATGAATGTTAATGACATTTGAGCAGCTGGTTTTGGTTCATCTTTCCTAACCAGAAAACCAACTTAGGGAAAAACTGACATGATGCTCAGGATAAATGCAGCATCAGAGAAATGGAGGAAAAACAGAGTGGTGCTGTGGGAATTTAAAATTCAGCGCCACTGATTGCAGTTGGAAGCTCAAGTGTGTGTGCATCTCTTTCTTTCTGCCCCCAAGTATGAATTTGTGTGTTTAGTGTTTAGTGTTTTCCAGAATCCATACACATTTTCCTATTTTGAAATATAATGTGACATTAATTAAAAAATAGGATGTTATTAAAATTTTTAAAAATTCAACCTTTTTAATTTAGTTGGTAATGTTAACAAAACAGTATAATATATTTTGTGATTACATTGTAAACTCGTACGTTCTTTACGATGTAACTAACTGTGTAATTAACAACAGTTACAGACTTTGAACCCTGTTTTTTTACAGCTCACACTGGGACGGTGCAGAAGAAGCGGCGCAGGAAGAGAAGATGAAAGCCGTGCTCAGGTAAATGCAGCAGAAGAGACATTCTGCCACATCCTGCTTCACTTTCTGGCAACGAAACCCCGCCAGTATAGAAGTTATGACCAAAGTTGTGCACATGTCTGGTAGACGTTCCCTTCACGTGAAGGCAGCAATTATGGTTATTTCCTGCGGGGTGAAAACACAAAAACAATCTGAAAGGCTTGTGTAAGTCACAGGGAAAGAAAAACAAAACTGGGGCTGCAGGCATCAACAGATGTGCCCAAAAACCGCCTGACACCACTATTGTTATATATAGTATAAAATTTACTACAGAACTGTGGAAAAGAGTTTTTATTTCAACAAAGCACCTCAGGCTCAAAATACCATCTCAATGCCCAGCATGCATTTGTGGGGCTTCAAGTTTAGGTCAGACGTCTAGCCTGCGTCAGACCAACCGCAATAAGTGCAGGGCGGTGAGTCAGTCTGCAGCTGACTGACACAATTAATCATGATTAATTGAGGATAGCCCAGGATTTCTTTTAGTGGGTCCAAAACTTTGGCTTGCGACCCCATTTTGGCAACGCAAATTTCTAGCGACCCCCACAGACTCTTTAGTTTTTGATCATGTCTGTTATAGTGTGTTGCAAATACAGAGTAGCCTAATTAGCACACAAAGTGACAGCTGTCAATCAAGATACCCCACCTCAGATATTTTGATATGCTGAAATTTATTTAAACTTGAAGAATAATTATTAGTTGACATTTCAGGTGACCCCTTTGTATCCCAGGTGATCCCCCAAGGTTGAATACACTGGTTCTTTTTGTCTTGTTTATTGATACTGAATTGATCTAAGATGTTTTAATAAGATGCAGTTAAATGAGCTTAGTACATGTTTTTTCATATATATTTATTTGCCAAAAACGTGATCATTACAAAAAAGCCTTCACAAAGGGTTGTTGAAATTGTCTCACCGGCTCTAACAGCTTAACAAAGGCAGTTTAGATTGGCTGGAATAGCTGCATATTTGTGTAATACACCGCCCTAAATGTTGGAAGGGTGTGGGCATCAACAGATGCAGCCAGGCTTAACCATGGGCCGTCACACGGCACAGACAGACCAACTTTAGAAACTGAAAGGGATTTCTTTTCTCAGCTGTTGCTCCTGTCTCCGCTGTCCTTTGTCGCTCCATTGTCTGATTAATCTGACAACAGTCACATTAATCCTGTCTCACCTCAGTCTGTAGGCTTCATACCTGAACGTCCATGATTCTGATCACATCAGACTGGGTAAAAAAAAACTTGGTACCATGTAAAAAAACTTTTCCAGCACAGTCATCACCATCCATCAGGAGCTTATCTTTGCAGTTGGCTGCCAAAACAAATGTCTGTTGTCTCAGTTGGACATGGTAAAATAAAAAGTCGTAAAAAAAAACAGTTGTTTGACCTTAATGAAGATTATTTCCCGGCAACTCAAGATTAAAAGGCTTTTCACCACATTCTGAGATGGTGAGATAAAGCTTGAATTTGTCAGCACAATTTCAAAGAATAGATATGCTAAAATGTGAAGGGGAGTAAAAAAAAAAAAAGACATTCCAGTGGGTGGAAGAAAGACTGGAGAAGGAACCAGGGGAAATGGGGAAGCAGCGAAATCTGTCTGGAATGTCTGACTCAGGAAAGAAACGGAAAAATGAATTTTAATTGGCAAGTGGACAGGAGAAGTGCGCAGGGTTGGAGAGGCGGGGAGGTATTGTGAAACTGGCTGGCGTTAATCGTGCCAGTCTGTGGGAAAAAGGTGTCAAAACAGGAAACTACAAACTCAGAGTTTAGACACATAAACAAATAATGAACTCACATGAGAACGCCAAGAAAAAGCCATTTGTTGGGACTGACTTGTTATAAAAAAAAGAAAATCCTTAATTTCTTTTAATAAACCTGGTCTCCTCTGAGACTCTCAGCTAAACTAATCCTGCCCTGGTCATAGCCTTACCTGAGTTACTTCTGAAACCTGTGCAGTTATTTTTTAATGCTGCGTCTGTTGCACCACTTTGCAACATGATGGTGAAATCTTCTTTAGGTGGTCTGAAGTTGCAGACACAACAGTTACTCCAGTGTTGGATCAGTAAAGTTCTCCTTTCAGTTCACAATCCACAACGTTAACTCAAACAAAAACAAAAAAAACCAAACTTACTGATGCATGTACACCACAGCCCACTGATTCCAGTAGCAGCAGGTAGACAGGACCATATGTCTTGTGAGGCATGGCAGGGGTCAAAGGTCAGCCTGCTAATAATGGTTAACTGCTGGAACCTGATGCTTCAGTTGTCTCTGTTTGTTCACATAGCCGTGGTAACCGGGCAGCAGCTTTGAGCCACACTCATACTCACCACCATGTTGAGTTTAAAAACCAGATCTGATGAGTTGTATTTCCCAATCTACCAGACATAGGTGTATAAATATATATATATATATATACAGTATATATATTCAATGTAGGTAGATCACTTTAGCCTGGTCATTTGAATATTAGCTCGGAAGCTAATAATGGTGTTTTACCACAAGATAATGTTTGCAATGGTTTCCCACTGTGGGAAAATGTATTTATTAACCTTTGGTCCCTTTTTGGTAAGAAGATTTAAAGCAATATGTATCACTATGTTGATAAAACATAAAAACAACATAAGACAGTTGAATCGTAATATACGAGTAAGGAAATCATTGCCTTTCAAAAATGAAATAAAAAGTGGGAATTTATTGTTGTGTTAGTTCTTAAACCAAATAAATCACAGGTCAGTGTCATTTATTGTAATGCAACTCAACTATATCTATTTCTAAATTCATAGCAGTGAATAAAAAGGGAAATTTAATTGACCCCCACTATCTGTTAAAATCATGTATTGTTTCCTTTTTTACTTTATTTATATAAAGATTTTGTTCTGACAGCGTTCTGCCGTTAGTGTTTAATTCAGTGGGATTTATGAGTCAGGACACCGGTGTCAAATGTCGTAGATGTGAATGGTTGAACCTCTGGAGAGAACTAATGCACTGTATCACTCTTTACCCATGACATTATATTTCCTGTGTTTATGTCAGGAATATTTGGCCTCCCTGTGGAAACAGAGGTCAATGAAACCACTGGGAATTCAACTCTAGGAAATAGGACATTTAATGGAACTCCAGGAACACTGTTTTACTGTGCTTTATTTTGAACTTCAAGCTAATAACGGCTGTTTAAAAAAAAAAAAGAAAGTCGACTCAAATATTGGACTACTGTGTTCTATGTTTTTTCTCCGACTGCTCTAATTGATGCAGCCGGAACGCCCCATCAACTAATGTGGCGGCCATAATTTTCATTTGCCTTCCACTTCCTTTACCCCTTTGACCTTACCAGACCTCCCAGAGAGACACCTAAACCTGAAGTGAGTGTGACAGTGTTTCTATCGGCGTAGCGATCCCAGCTATGACTTATAGCTGGTGCTGTCAGCCAGTTATTCATGTGTTCCTTCAGGCCTCTGTGTTGAAAAATGCTTTCTTTATCAACGCCCTCCCCACCACCCGGCAGGTCACATGATAAAATGAATAAAGCGTCCCAGAGCCAGCGATCATTACTCAGACATGCTGAACAATCCCCTAAAAATGAATCTGTGCAGGAAGGAAAGTGTTTACACCCATTTAACAAGACAGTGAGGTGCACAATACCAGCAGACTTGAGATAATGGAAAATGAATTGGCCTTTAAATAATATTTAAGAACAGTTGGAGAGCGTTCAGCTCTTAATGGGCCACGGTTCCTTCCTCACGCTGAATAGGAACATAAAACACCAATGGCAGCAATTCAAATTCTAACTTAACCGCCCTCCGCGCTAATGTCTGTGGCCACACTGAGGGGCGTGTCACCACTTTGATGAGACAAGTGCCCTGGACAGGCCCTCATCCCAAATCCAAACCCTGAAGCCCACAAATAAAAACCCATGGTTTACACCATCTATTTAGCTTTGACTGAACAACCTCTGTTAGTTCTAGTAATTTGTTTGGGAATCTAAATAGGATAGTTTGTTTGTATTGTTTGGATTTCTTTTTTTAACCACAAAATCCCCTCATTTGGTCCAAATTTTAGGACCAACACAGTTAGATTCATGGACCTGCGTTCATCACAGACAGGGCCTCTTGTGTTAGCAGACACTGAATTGCTTTATTGTCTCTGCTGCTTGTCCATTGAGTGAAGTGTCTGCTGGAGAGCGGACCCATCGCCTCTGTGGGATCGGGGTATTTGGTATTCAATGCAACGATCGCCTCTCTGAACATAACTCTGAGCTCAGTGAACGTGGTTCTCACACCCCTCACCCTTGCCGGGAGACAGTAAAACGACTGTCGCTGCTCAACTGTTGTGTCTTCGGCATGTTTGTGATGATAATGTATAGGCTCGACAAGAATGCGGCACCCAGATGCTGGATCCTGAGGAATCCCCCTGCTGATACAGGGCTGGCCCGGACGACTCTCTGTCCACATCCCTGTTAAACCACCACAAAGACATGAGAAAGCTGATGACATATTTGCAGTCGTCCTGTATTCTACTCTTCATCCTCATGTATTATCAAATATGCTGGCAATTTTAACAGTTAGCTTAATCCCCAGCATGCAGGCTCTCCCATAATCAGTGAAAACATGGAGTGTTCCACTAAAGAGGAATGTATTTTCCTCTTTCAAAGTCCTTTTCAGATGACCTCCGACCCAATGAACAAAACAGTGTTATTGCACAAAGTGATGTATGGATTTGTTTTGGTATTTGTTGGCTCAGTTTTAGATGCAGCAGTTGACTGTGACCATGTTGGTGATGAGCGATTTCCTGACGCAATTTCGAACCCAAGTGTATGTGTATGTCCTTTGTATTTAATTATAGTCATGCTGTCAATGCCAGATCAGAGGTTTTTTTACTGCCCAGATATGCAAGTCTACAGTCTCCCTACGTGAGGTCAATTGGAAAATAAATCAGAAATAAAAATTTAAAAAATGGTGACACTGGATGGCTAAAAAATAATACTTTGTCGTTCTGATTATAAGCTGAGTCATTACTATGTGACCAAACTGGCAGGGCCAAACAAAAACATTATCTAATCAAAACTACTTGTTTCCAGATGCCTAGCACTTGTGCTGATAACACAGGAGATAACTCTTGTTTTCGCTGTGATTCTTTTTAGCATCTGGGCTACTGTATGTACACTAGGGGTTACTGAACCAAATATTTTCTTTTTTTTTTTCTCTCACAGACAGCTGTATTCAGCAGTGATGATCCTGTCACCCTGGCACGAGACAAAAACAGGCCTGTAAGGAATGTGCAGGTGAGTTCTCGGCAGCTTAATGAATAGAAACCACCAGTAGCTGGAATGTTGCTGCGAATCAAACTGGCTCATCAGCTCACTTTCATGCCCATATTAGGCTGCGGTTCTGTGGAATTCCCCACATGCCCATCTTGAAACTGCTATGCCTGTCACTCCCAGAGTTTAACTGATTTTTTTTTTTTCGGGTCGACAAAGTCACGGAAAAAATGTCTTGCATTATCATCAACTAATAATCATGTGCTTGAGCCTCTCTGCTACTTAATACTTTGCCTTGACAGAAGTGGGCTCGCTGAGACAAAATTATAGGCCAGAAACTGTATATTTAATGATGACTGAGTATAATAAACTGTCAGCAGAAATATTTGCCCTCAATTCAGCTGAGTGGGCCACTTGAGCATGGCCGAGCAAAGTGGGTCATGCGGTGCAGCACGTTTCCCAGCGTCTGCTTTTGACTTTTGCTCTGTCACGTCATATCTGCAAGGGAAAAAAAAAACAAATCCAACCCTGTCTGGTAGAAAGACATCAGATAAATTCTCCTGCATGTCCCTGCGAACTCGGCCTGTCTCTGTCCCATTGCGCCTTGACCTTTAACTTTACCACTATTTAGTTTGATGACAGCGTTAGTTCAGGGACTGACTTTGACTTTAATGACCAAAAATCCACAGTCAAGTTTGATAAGCGCATAGCTCTGCTGTCCATCCAGTCCAACACGTAGGAGACTTGGCCCTGGATCATGGTCATTTAATGTGCAGGAAATGATGTCCAGAGTTGATAAGGACCAGATTGTGCCTGGGGAATGTAATGGAAAAAAAAAAGGTCTCTGCTAATTTACAGCGCAACGTAGTGTTAATTAATAGTCAAAACATTGGTTTAAATGCTACAAAATATGTAAAGAAATATCAACTTTTAGAATTTATTTTCTTACTTTTATTCACTATTCATTTGTTTAGCGTACCAAAATTATTAAGAAACATGTTCAGTATAATCTGCTCCTTCAGTCTATGTCTTGTCAAAAAAAACCTGTCCATTTTGCAGTAGCTAGCTGCACGCTAGTTTGAAGAGCAGAGCAGCTTTGCTAACAGGTGCAAACTGCCAGGTATTTAAAGATTATGTCATCGTCATGCTAAAGTTGCGGTTGTCACATGAGGTATCATCGGAAACTTAAGAATCCAATAATACAGCAGTTAACGTGGTTATAAAAAATAATAATACTATATTTTTGGCAAATCCCTCAAATTTTCTAAGGTTCCCTTATCGCCCCCCAGTGACCCCTTTTTTGAAAACTGTTATAACTTGTCTGTTTAAACAGGACATTCAGAACATTGTGATTAAAGGGCGTAATTCAGAGAGTGATTCATGGGTATTGTGTGTAAATTCCAGGGCCGTTTATTTCATCAGGGTGGAGTAATTGAGTTTTTTAATTAAATTCAACACCGGCCAATGTCATTTTAACGTAATACAATCTAATGATTAGCATTTAGTCATTTTATAGCTTACTTTGGATTATTTGCTATTATGCTAAGGGATAGGTGATAAACACCTACACTGTGTAAATGCTCCCATGGAGCAGGGAGTAGTTTTTATGTACTGAACGTGACAGTCCTACCAGAGCTGGGATTCGCACCAGTAGTCCTGCGTTAAAAAACTCCATCCTTAAACCAAGGTCAACAACTCAGTCCCTGCTGGTGAGTGATGGTCTTTCTTTGTGAAGTGTGTTGGTTTGTTCCGGTTTCTACCAACAGTACACGTGTGCTGGGGTGCTGGTGTGTTTTTAAACATATTTCAGAGATATTTCAAATTCTTCTGTCGGAGGTTTTTTTTTTTTCTAAAACAATTTCATCATCACTTTCAAACACTGATTTATGTTTTTGTTAGATGTCTGAGACTTGATCTGGGCCTAGGACGTTAGGAACTGTAATGTCACTGTGATAGGGGCAGGTGTTTTGCAGAGAAACAGAAACTCAAGCCTGGCTAATCTGAGATGTCAGACCTTTTCCGGACATTCATGTTGTAAAACTTGTCTGTCGAGATGCTAATGACTCTCCTGAGTGTGATGATGAGGCAGGAGGAAATAAAAAAGAAAAAACAATCATAGCAAACATGTTACCTGGATACTAGGTGGAAGTATGTTATTGCAGGGCAAAATTCTCCTTTCTTTTTCTTAAACCAACAATGACTCACCCCAACAGGTACGTCAAAAATGAAGACAGACGACTCTTCCTCTTTGACAGGTGTGATAGAAATATTTGTTGAGGCAATAATGCACATTTGGCCGCGACTGTTGGCGTTTAGGACATACTGGCCTGGTTCGTAGAGTGAGTGACGGGAGTTTAAAGAAACGTGATCCTCTGAAAGCGGCGGTAACAGAGCGAGGACAGAACAAGTGCCTCTCTGTGATAGGCTGTCAGCAGGTTTGCACGCCACAGGTGTCAAGCGCTTCTTTCAAGTCGACCTGAAGATTATGCAACTGTAGTATAGGTTGACAGTGTGGGCTGACTTCTCATAGAGAAAGTGTCTGTTCAGACTGTTCTATTATCTAAGGGTTTCTGTGGTGGCGCTTCAAAGATGCTTATTCACTCCCCGTCAGCCCCATCTAGGTTTCCTTGACCTTAATATGTGCAACACTGATTCAATTCAGGCAACTTGTGTGGGCTACGATGTGCAACGTAGATAAATGCTGCCATTTTTTTAGGCCTACTGTGAATGAATTAGGTAAAAGAAAAATGATTACACAACAGCAGCGTTATATATATATATACAGTATATATCTCCAATATATGAAAAAAGTTCAGTTAGCCTCACTTAGCATGTGGTAACATGTTTGTTTTGACATAGAAGCTAATGTAAAAGCTAATGTCTATTTTATATAAGACAGTTAGACAATCGCAACCAAAGGTGACAGTAGGAATTGAAGAATAATAAGCGCAAAAATAACCAAGTTATGTTGAGTGGACACAACTATAGCGTAGCCAAAAGAGCTAATTGAAGATGTAGATAATCAGTTAGAAATTACATTACATTAGTATATCCAGACTTATAAGGCATCCTCTAATAAATAAAATTACCTTTCTGATGTACTAAATGTGCTCCATATTTACCAGCTTAAACATGTTTTTGTTTTGAAGTTGTAGATGAAAATTATACCTCTGTCTTTACATATTTCAGGCTGGTTTGCCTTTTGTCCAAAAGAACCCTGCAGGCCTCGTGACTCAGCATCGCCTCAGACATATTTGTGTGTGATATTCGTTCGTGCGTGTGAGACGCGTCTTGGTTACGACGTGTGCAAACTTAGCAGTAAACAGAGGGTATCCGGGTTACCAGGTGGTGAGTGTCTGCGGGAGGGCCAGGGTGCAAATGGAGCGGCAAACCAAAGGGAGAAAGGAACTCCTGGCTCATTGTCAGACGAGAGAGAGGAGGAGCTAGAAGATGACAATCAGTGTGAGAACTGCGCCTCCTGCAAAGAGTTGTTTTCTAGCATGGTTTTGGCGCATACCGACGTGACTTAGTCACTTTGTGTTCCGACGCAGCGCAGGTGAACATTTGATGCTAAAAAGGCTTGGCACTCGCTGCCGGCTGCACCTGGACAACATGCCACTGCTGCTCAGTGTCAGCACATTCCTCGCTAGGTACAATTGTTTTTGTTTCCAGTGTCTTCCATTGATTGGCCAACAAAAGAGAATAGAATTCAGAGTTTCGGGGGTGAGGTGTGAGTCTACCCTTAAAGTACTGGATTTTAATGTAATCTACGGAGTGATGGTAATTTTCGGTTGTTATCTGTAGTGAGTAGTAGCAGTCCTCAATCCTGGGATCTCAGTCAATTCTCAATTGAACTTTGAGCCTAAAATTGAGCCTAGTCACGGTACCGTCTTAAAAGTCCAAGGGCCTTAGCACTGACATGATGTCCAAGTCATTCCAGTGACAGACAGAAAC